TCTTGTGGCAGAGCAGGAGACTGTGGAGGCTGACCGGAAACTTTAATATCCTCATTATTTTCTGATGGAAATACACAGACAGGCAGACAAATACACACAAACTTCAGCTAAGGCCATCACTTTTTCAACAAGACTAGGTTAAAACCTAGTGTTTGACTGGACTCGGTTGAAGGCTATTTGCATTCTGCCTCGTGTCAGGCGGTTTCAGCCCTTCATTTGTTTGCTTCTGTCCTACTCTCTGTGCTCACATATACAATATTTTAATACAGACAAATTCCCAATTAAGCTGTTCTCATTTACATGTTTTTCTGTTTCTGTCAGACAATAAAAGAAGTATGAAATAGTGATTGAATCACAACCAATTAAGACTACATGTTAACCAAATAAAGAAAATGCCGGCACTAATAGTCAAATAATCTTATTATTTAATATGAGTCAATGAATCTTGCCCCATATTAAATAATAAAATTCAACTGTGCATGCCTGCATTTCTTTTTTTCTTTTTGAGTCAGCTATGACCACGCACCCGATACAGCAGTATTTGGAGCTGTGCGCACCACCACTGTTTTCTACATGTTGAACAGCAGTCTCTTTCAAGCCATTTCTAAGCTGCTGATGTAAACTGCTAAAATCCAGATTTTTTAACCATGACATTGTCTGACAAAAATCACCACACACATGACTTAAAGACAATGGCTGAGCTGTGATTTGAGCATTCACATCAGCTGCCGTGAGATCGTCACAGGCAGGTGTGCCTGGGGAGGGAAAGCTCGACCGAGGGGCAACACTGGCGACAATCTTCTGCAGATAGTTGGAAAAGTTTGTCAAAGAACTCACTAGATTTGTCCCTAGGTGCTTTTTTTGAAAAATTGTTGTAAAAGGGGTCTGAAAAGTTAGAAACACTGCTTGTTCACACCAAATCATTCTGAAAAAGGAACGATCAGTAGGGAATCTCCAACACTTGGCTGGCTACCGTATATAAAGGTGCTCCTCTGCAAATGCTTTAATTGCTTTAAGTGCTTGGTGACAAATAAATAACTGAACAATATATACGGTGACATTCCTTTGCATTGTGTCAAACAAATTAAAAACCCTCTCTGACTCAAGTCAGTGAGCACACATACGCAGCGCGCTCTCTTCTACAACCCGAATGACGGACACACAGAGGGGGCTAGTAAAGACACACACAGATGCTAAAATATTTATGGATTTTTTGATGGTCAACCGGCCCACCGCTGCAGCAGGATTTCTCCCAGTGCTCCCGATGGCCAGTCTGACTATGACAGACAGGTCTGTTGGCTATGTGAGATAGAGAGAAGAGAGAGAGAGACACGGTGGGGCGAGGAGGGGTAAGTGAATCAATGCCCTGCATGCAGCTCTACAGTCAAAGGTTCTACCCATTTGAACTAGTAAAAAAAAAGTAGAGAATCAATATGTGGCGATCAATGTTGAAATTGTGGCGGGCCGCCATGAATAAATCAATGTATAGGAAACACTGCGTCTTTATTTCAAAGACAATGTAGAAAAACTGTGACACTACAGCTTTCCATTTTGATTTGACCTCCAAAGAGGCCGCCTCAGACACAGTTTCCCAACAGAAAACTGAAATGCCTTGATTTTCTCAAAATATCTGACATAATTTACATCTTTACCAGCACATCTGCAGTGAATGTGGTCAAAGTGATGACAGCACAGAGAATGGAGCACTTTGCTGGCTTCCCTTCTTAAAACTGGATCTTAAAAGCCGACACGTTCTCCTGCAGAGAAGCAGCACAATTTGTCAGCATTACTTGCAGGAGTATGGGAGTTTCTGATCCTTTCATGAGTCTGTTGATGTGTAAGCTACAGTTGGGAAGTGGGACTTCTCAGCAGGCTCTGTTCTGTGTCTATCTGACAAAAACAAAATATCCAAGTTTTGATATTTTGAACTTAAGTTTTAAACTCTGATATCTGGGGTGGAGGAATTGTCTCTGTAATGGCTTCACTCGTACATAATTTGGGGAAAATGTGAAGGTGGAAAGATGAACAGCCACACACATGTAGAATCTGGCAAATGCACAATACACACACAACTCTGCTCAGCTATCTATTATGTCGTTCACAACAATATTTATCAAGCAATCTGTTTTTTTTTTTTTCCTTCATCTTTTGTTTTGTTTTTCTCTTCCATTGCATCTCTCTCACACCACCCTCTACTTGATCACATGGGGATGTTACTGCTGTTGTCTTGGCTCCAGTGCTGTTAAGATTTCATAAAACTTGGCTTTGATTGATTGCTTGTATCTCCCTCTCCCTTCCTCCCCTCCCCTCCTTCTCTGTAGTCCATTAGTTATGGTAATGTTAGGTTAAATACATCTTAACTTGTTGGTGATTGATTTACACATCCCCACCCGTAAACTCTTCTTTTTTTCACCTCCTCCCCTTCCTTTCTCTTTTTTTTTTCCTTACAGTCTCCATCCTCCCTGTGTAATGTATAACTTTTGTGGACAGATGCTGTTGGGTTGGGCTAAAAGGGAGGTCTGGCTGTCAGCTCCACTGTGCAGGCTGCTGACAGAGCTCTAACTGGAAGGTCAGAAGATGAATCTGCTATGTCACACGGACAGAAGTATGAGCGATGCGTCTGTGAGCAGGGCTAACACACTCATATTCACACGCTGAGACTGAGATGCTTGACTAGTTGTATTTTGAAAAACAACAAAAAAATGTGCATGCTTGCAGACACACAAAGCATGTTTGTCTTACTATATTAGTGAGGACCATACACTGACCACATCTTCAATAAACTCTAACTTGCATATTCTAATTTCATATTCTATTAGTTCTAACTTTTACTCTACAGCCTCACTCCCATCAACAAACATAACTTAAAATTATAAAACTATAGTTGTTGTCAACCATTTACTGTGGCAAATTCTACTGCATAGTCATTACCGCAGTGTACAATTAAATTATTCTACCTCCTCCTGCTTATGATCTTTGTTAATTTTATCTTTGTTTATGCTTGCTCATATTGTCTATCCTCTAAAGGCATTTTTATGATACTGAACTACAATGACAGTTTTCATTTTGTTGTTTTGTAATTATAATTTTATAGTTATTGCTGTGGCCAGAAAACAACAATTGTTGTCAGCAGTTTCTTTTTTTCTTGTTAAAATGATCTTCATCATGCAATAAATCATTATCCTCGACTTGTTTTGTCAAACTTAATTTCAAAAGTTTTAATTTTACTAACTTGTAGTGCTTCTTTTTTAACGTTGTTTTGAATCAGTGTTTGCAGTCAAACTGTTGTCTACACCAATATGTATATCCTGAGTGGTGTTACAGTAAATGGCTTTATCATCTGGACGTGTGACCTGACAAAAAGGAAATGTGCTGTTTTTAATGTATCAGCACAGACAAACATACATACAACATACATATAGTAAAACATACAGTAACACAGTTTATTAGTTGTGAAACACCATGGATTCCAGCTTTAAACTTAAGTCCTAACATCAAGGACTAAAATAAGTTTGCCCTGTGAAAAGGTGTGAATGGGTCTAAATGACGTCACTTTGCAAAAATGTCCTCACCTCAGATGTCTACAACTTCAAATGGTTGTTACAATGATAGAATTGTAAGAACATGCACATAGACAAATATAGACGTACATAACAGCACATTCACACACTGGGAAAATACACACTCATGCTCACACTCGGGGGTGTTAATGTGAAAGCCTGGACACTTCAGGGACCCGGTGAACCCAAGATCCATCTCTCTCCTGACAGCAGTCCTCCATTAGCAACACACACAAAAATCTGGTTGAAGAATGCACGCATGCAGTACTTTTTAGTACCCTTCACTTTTATTTATCATTTTGTTTTGTTGCAGTCTTCTGTAACTTTTTTTTCCCCTACATCAGTCCAAACTCAACACCCTTTAATGACAATGCGAAAACAGGATTTTAGAAATTTTTGCAAGTTTATTAAAAAGGAAAAACTGAAATATCACATTGACTTAACTATTCAGACCTTTTGCTGTGACACTTAGAATTTAGCTCAGGTGCCCTCCATTTCTCTTGATCATCTTGGAGATGTTTCTACACCTTGATAGGGGTGTACCTGTGAAAAATTCAATTGACTGGATATGATTTGGAAAGGAACACACCTGTCTATGTAAAGTCTCACGACTGACAAAAGCATATCAGAGCAAAAACTAAGCCATCAGGAGGAAAGACCTGCCCGCAGAGCACAGAGAGAGGATTGTGTTGAGGCATAGATTCGGGGAAGGCTACAAAAACATTTCTGCTGCATTGACGGCTCCCAAGAGCACAGTGGCCTCCGTAATTCTTAAATGGAGGAAGTGTTGAACTAACACGACTCTTCCACAAACTGGCCAAACTGACCATTCAGGTAAGAAGAGCCTTGGTATGAGCGATGACCAAGAGCCTAATGGTCTTTCTGGCTGAGCTCCAGAGATCCTGTTTAGAGATGCGGGAAACTTCCAGTAGGACAACCATCACTGCAGCACTGCACTGGTTTTAGCATGTCATACCCAAGAATAGGCAAAGCTGTAATCGCTGTCAAAGGTGCTTCAACTAAGTACTGAGTAAAGGGTACGAACACTAATGTCAAGTACATTTGCAAAAATTTTCAAAACTCTCTTTTTGCTTTGTCATTATGGGGTATTGAAGGTGGAGTGATGATGGAAAAAAATTAATTTAAATCATTTTAGCAACATAACAGAATGTGAAAAAGTGAAGGGGTCTGAATACTTTCTGATTGCACTGTACAGTGCTTAATACATACAGGGTGCATTTTCACTCAGGCACATGCACCCACACACGGAGTTGCTGAATACAAAAATACAGTACTGATGCTGCCATAGCGATTAAATGAAGTGCATGCAGTTTCTCAATTTTATCATCTTTCTCCAAAACATAACCACAAACACGGAGGAACACACAGAAGTGAAAACACAAATTAACTAAAGCAAATGTGAATACAAGACAGACTCACCTGTCGCAATCTGTAGCAGTCATCTCATAAAGGTGATTGGCAGCTCCATCAGCACATGCCCTCAAGAGAGCTATAGAGAGACACACCAATAGAGAGACACTCAAGTCTGTGTAAATGAAAGCAATTAGTTTTGAATGAATAGAATACCTCACTTTCATTGAAGAGACATTTCTATACTTTTTACAAGTTACTGTTACACATGATCCAGTTCACTCTGGTTTAAACAATGTGTAGTGTCACAATAAGCTTGTTTCCACAAATGCAGTGGAACTCTCAGGGGTAAATGTGCCCACGTTACTTTATGCATCGCCTTAGTCAAGTCTAACTGGTGGAATGCAGGCAAAATTTCCTCCTCAAACTTCACAAACATAATTTCTCCTACCCAAACGAAGCATACATGTAACATGACCTGCCATTTGTCTGCAGTCATTTTCAAAGAAATTATTCTCAGAGAGCCTTGTATATTGAGGTGTTTCAGAGCCATATCATACATGTAATATCTTTCCAGTGTGACTCCTGATAAATTCACTGTATGTTTTTTCTTGATCTGGTGGACATGTTTCATTTCAGAATGTGTCCAGTGTCTTTGTGAGGACATTCACAGCTTCTGTAGCCTGCTGGCTTAATTCTACATACCACACACTGCACAGCACTGACTTACAGTATTTTCTTATGAGTATATAGATGGATGCCGTATAAAAAAAGTAATGTTATTATACACTAATACACAAACGTGAATGTTCAGGGTGCAGATTTTGTTGATTTATACACTCAGTTGGCAGATTATTAGGAACTCCTAGCTAAAACTAATGCAACAGTCCTACAAGAAGTCCTGCCTTTATGACTGTTGTAATGTTAAGGTTTTATTGAAACTGTGTTAAAGAGGTGTTGATTCAACTGTATGAGTATTTTGGAGGGTGCAGTTTGTTGTCCTGTTGAACTGTACTGTGTTATGCAGAGGTGTTTATGTTATTTAGCCTATCCTCATAGATTTGAATGAGGTGGACTTATAAATACAGTTTCAACAAAAACTGAACATTACGACCTTTATTTATTATTACCTTCATTATGAATTAGTTTTAGCTGGGTGCTCCTAACAAACTAACAAGTGGATGTACATCTGACTGTCAGAGTGCTGAGTGCACAAGATCATAATTTATAGAAAAGGAAAAACATAACGAGTGAATTAAACACAGCACTAGTTTATAAACAGTTTGAATAAGGTCCAAATAAGTTAGATAGAAGCCACCTTTCTGCCTCTGAAAACTTAACAAATAACAAACCCCACAGACAAGTAAAGCATTATGGTTAAATAATAATTTGACCCTTCAAATGCAGTCTGTGAAAGAGCACTTATCTTTTCCGATTTTAAAAACAGACAAATGAGGCGGTGATTTGGCATTCTTAAAATGGTATTCAAGTTCTCAGAAATTAGATGCAAACTATTTGCAAATGTATGCTCTTTCAAGGCCCCTATTCTATTCAAATTAAACAGGCAGTCTATTTTTTAAGAGCCCTTTTCTGTTTGGGGCTGTTGGGGGGCACACAGGGGAAAAACTTCAAAGAATCAGCTATGGTTTTCTACTTGAACCTAGTTTAAAACTAACTAAAGCCTGCAGCTAAGAGACCAGCCAGACTTATATGCTTGTTTTCCGTCTCATAGGGCTTTCCTTATCCAACTGTGTCCATTTCCAAAATCCATCCTCCGAGTCTGCGCCTACTTGTATGCATTTCATTGTTCGATTGCAAAAAAGTGATGCAACAGCTTACACATATGAACTGTGGATACGTGAAGTTGCTGGAAAAGTTTACTTTAAATCTCAATTAATTAAGTTTTCACCCTGGATTGAATTTAACTTGTTTGCCCCCTCGCTGCACAATCAGTTGACACATTAAGTGCATCTTTCTTATCCTATGCAACACACAAACTTCAAAAAGTAATATTTTGTGAGTTATCAACATGAAAAAACATATGAAGCGGTTCAGCAAACTGATGTTACTGCATGAATATTGCCTTGTATTTGATCACCAGTGAAACAACATTGGATGTTTAATTGTGACTACCAACCTGACACTTCACAGTCAAAAACATCTTCTACATGTTTACTGACTTGAACATATTCTAGACATGAAGGTTTATTCCTCTGTTCATCCCTGAGTGAATTCCAATAAATACAAAGGTGAGAAGACGAGTTTAAACTTAGCATAGCTGTTAATCTCCACAGACATTATTTGTATTTGTGTCTTAACACACTATTAGCACATTGAATCCTAAAAATAAGTGTTGTATGGAACAATGCAAACTGAGTAACACCCACATACTGTAAATTCTTATTCATCGATCACAGACTCCCACATTCATCAAATTGGACCTAATCATCAGAATCAAATGGAGAAGAATGATTATATCTTTCTCAATATAACTATCCTTGGCATGAGCACTTAAAAGTAAGAGAATGGAGATGCATCTGCATTGATGTAAATAAGACATTTATACTCAAGGTAGTGCTTTTATCTGTAAGCCCTTCCACCTGCTGCCGATGTTTCGCGTCAAGAAATGATTGGAATGTAAATGACTCATTATCTCTGACAGAGTGCAAAAGCTGTGAAACTTTTCAAATGGCAACTTCTGGAAAAAACAAAGAAACTCTTCTTTAAACCTAGTGGTGACAGACTGCAAAGCTATCAATCATTATCTGTGTATCACTATCCGCACACAGACGCACTGAATAATTTTCTGACTTAGGGTTCTAGAACAGTTACCTCTGTCACTCATTTTCTCTGTTTGCATGGCATGGCATTAACACACACACACACACACACACACACACACACACACACACACACACAGCTACAGTAAATCTGTTGATATGTGTGTATATGTATATATAGAGCCACAAAAAAAAAAAACTCCACACAGTGTCTGTAATCAGAGCAGCATGTTGCAATGTTGGAACAAATAGCAAATTTTAGATGTTTTTGTTGTTAGTATTAATCAGTACTTTATATTTTATGTTCCTGCTGATTAAAGCACTTAACTTTGTTCACGTCACATAACAGAATAACTACATTGTAATAGAAAGTTTCACAAATGCCTGTGGCAGCGTTCGTCTGTCTAGATTTCTCAACATCCCATTAATCTTCATCACACAGTAAACGGCAAAAATGGGTAAACTAAGGTTGAGATCTCTCCATCTGCATTCCATCCACAGGCAGTGAAGGCACAAATACTGTCATTCTCCCACTGAGAACAATGAATTGTCAGCTATTTGAAGTGTGCCACTACTGTGAATGCAATAGCCTAACCAACTCCTTCTTCTCTTTCTCCTCAGAGCATTTGAGTTGAACAATCATGCTCAACAGAAAATCACATCCAGAGACACCAGTCTTATGAATCCTGAAGGTGATATGATGTGAGCTGAGCAGGGACAGCAGAAGCAGTCAGAGGAGATGACCTTGTAAATAAACTAGCTATCATAATCCCTCCCTGCAGGCTTCAGAACCAAATGCTGCTGTCACTCATTCTGCTGTATGATAGATACATATGGTGCGCAGGAGATAATGCAATTCCATGCACACTACTAAACCTGTCATTTCTGTTCTTTTTAATCATCTATGTCGCCGCTGAGCTTGATGCAGAAAAGGTGCATGCACACTTTCATACCGAAACACACACAAACACACACATTGCTGTGGGGAATATTCTATAGCATTCCAGTATTGATGAGGTTAGTGGTGAGGATTAATACCTGTCAGGTTAGGGCTTTAGTGCAGTACAGGAGAGGGCAAACGGTCACGAAGAGCGGTGAAAAGATTATCATCCTCATTATGATGCCTTGACACCCTCCCTTCATCTATCCATACACCTCTCCCCTTCCATCTGTCACCCTGTCTCCAGATCCACCCTGCTCTCTAAAACTCCCCTCGAATTTGATTGATTTCCTGCACAAACATCTCATTTTATGTCTCTCTAGCTCCACTCTGTTACTCTTTACTCTTCCGCTCTATCCCTCTCTTTCTTATTCTAGGTGGCACAATTTTACCAGGCCTTCTACTCATTCTCTTTTCTCTCCTCATCGACAGTCATGCTGGAATTTTTCTTCATAGCTCTCTTTAGATTCCTATCCATCAGTTCTCACTAACAGCATCTTTTCTTTGAAATTCACAACTCACAACCTATTTGTGCTATCTGACACGTGCTTAAATTTAGTGCAGGAAGTGTGAATGTGCACGCCAACGCATTGCAGCCACATTATCCAACCAGCCTTGATTGCAAGGCTGATACTCGAATGACTGATGGGTGATGTTCGCAAACTTCAACTTCAGCAAGCTGCTCGACATCAACAAATGATGAAATGAGGCACTTATAGTAAACACAGGTCTGTTTTTTTTCCTTGTAGAGAGAGTCACCTTTGCTGATTGCTTTATTGAATTGCTTGTTTGTGTTGTTACACAGTGAGTACGTGAAGGATCTGTAAGTAAGTAAATGAGTGACTGATTGAGTGAACAAGTGAGTGGGTGACTGACTAGATGAGCAAGTGAGTGACTGATGGACTAGATGAGTGAGAGGGTGCGTGAGTGAGATAAGCAGCTTGATCCCACTTCACAACATCACACTAGGCACCTGTAAATGAGCTTTCCTTTGATCAGTGTTGCGCTCCTCTAGCCTACATCACTGCTCTGCTCCCTGCTGCTCTACCTCTCCCACGGGTGATGAGGGGGCCCAGGGGCACCACATCAGAGGACCTGAGAGTACTCTCTGTATGTGTGTGTGGATGTCTGTGTCTGTAAGGGTGGAGACCTCCGGAGAGCGACACACACTCAGACACGCTCACGCACACTGACATCTGCTTATCCCATAAACAACATTAAAATTACATGGCATATCAAGTGAGGAATGATAAACTTGCTTACAAGCGCGTCTTTCATCAAACTGTGAGAGATTTGAGATCTGCCGTTCACAAACAATCATCATCCTGTCAAAACTTCTTCAAGTCCCATGTGCACTGCTGCCAAGATCAAAACTGATCAAGAAAGCTTCCCAATTTCTGACATCCATACCACAGCATTGCCACATCGCTTGTGGCACTTCAGAAACTGCCTAAAATCTCTCAGAAACTTTTTTATAAGTAGCCTTATCTAAACACGGGCAAATGCCCAAAACTGCCACATTACAGTATCAAGCTCCATCAAAGTACATCTGATATGTCTCACAGTGATCTCCAAATGGTACTGTTGGTTGCTTTGATGATTTGATGCAACACTTTCCTTATGATTCTTGTCCTTATATTCCTGGCAATTACTGAATGTGATAACAAAAAATTTGTGAAACAATCAACCAAACGATATGGAAAAGCACCACAATGCATTTATGTATAAATGTAATAATATATTATAATAATAAATGTAATCCCGGGGCGTCGTGTGGCGTAGTGGTCTAAGCAGGCGCCCCATGTGTAGAGGCTACAGTCCTCGCTGCAGTCGGCCCCGGTTCGAGTCCCGCATCGGACGGCCTTTGCTGCATGTCATTCCCCCTCTCTCTGCCTCCCCGTTTCCTGTCTCTCTCTACTGCACTATCAATGAAAAAAAAATGTAATCCCTAGATTGGAACAACATTAGTCAAACGTTGCAGGACTAGTCATGGTTTGGATTTGGAAATAAGGATATTAAATAAGGAAATAAGGTTATTAAACCAAAAAATATCAATCTACAAACTCTGTTGAGGGTCATTTACAATCAACATAGCGTGAAGAATATATTACAAGTCTAATATCTTGTCATGCTGAGATAGTGAACAGACAATTTAAACTCAAAATTGAAAAACTGTCCTCAATTTAAATATTGTTTACACTAAAAAATTTGAAACGGCTGTTTAAATGCATTTAAAATCAAATTATAACTGCGATTTTTAATAGTATAGTTCGAATCTATAGAAAACTGCACTGGATGCACAGTGTAAGACTGATAAGATTAAGCATCAATTAAGCCATTCCTTTTACATTTAACAGCATCAAAATCCTTTTAATGAATGTTTTATATGTTTTTCCGTCTTTAAAATATATATTTTTTTAATTCCTTCCCTTAATAGACTACCCAAAGAATCTTTATCTTGGGGCAGCAGGCAACCTTTGGAGGAAATTGCTTTGTCAAATGTCATTAAACATTTTCTATAGGTGCTTTAGTGAAAAGGCACAACCAAAGACAGCAACGACTATCTAACTGTGTGACTGCTGTGCGATGGAAAGAGCTCAGGTGCCTCATGGGTTTTTGCTAAATTGATAAGAACATCAAAGCTGTGTTCTTTAAAATTCAATCTGATGTGATTTAATTACACGTTTGCCTTCAAAGTTACTTTGTTTACTAACCAACTTAGTACTCTAAATAAGTCATAAGTTTATGAATTGGATTTTTCATACATTTGTGTGCCTACAGTTTTTTTTTTCATATTTAGTTTTTTTGCTGTTGTTTCATGGTCTCAGCATCAAAACTGTTAAGAACCACTGATCCCAGTCACTTCTTTTTACTCTGTCCTTGATAACACAACTGCATGCTTAACACATTCAGTTTTTTTCAAGTTACTCTTGTTCAGTCAGGCTCTGTTTCTGATTGTTTTACAAGATTTAAAGGAAAAACAAATGTGGGATACAGGTTGGGATGACACTGTCTGATTTAAAAGTTCAAAATCAGCTTTGCATATTTAATACATCACAGCCGAGTAGCACAACTGCCATGCATCAATGCATCTCATGAGCAACACCTCAGGGAGTCTGGGGTTCTTCTTCCCTTCAAAAACCTATTTTTTTCTTTTTAACAATAAGCCTTTTGTGCATGTTTTTGAGTTTTCCGAATTCCTCTTTCACTTTTACGCTGATAACAGGCCTTGGCATATTCATGAAGCAGATGAAAATCAAATCCTTTTTTATATCCTCTAGTTACCAAGCACAAAAATGTCACTGGAATCTTTCTTGGGGACTTTCTTGGTTCACAAACTACCAGCAAGTTTGTGACCAGCATCTTCAAGAATAATCATTAAAATGCTCCTGGGAATGACAGTTACTGCAAAAATGTTGAAGTGGAACCATTCAGAGAGCAACAAGTATTGTATGTTTCAATACAAATGTAATGCATAGTGGGTGTCTTAATTTCTGCCCTTTTACGCTAAAAAAAAATGTGTTCTTTGCTTCTCTTCTTTCACAAAGAGGGATTGTGCATCAATAAGAAAATGTGCAGTATTTCTAGTATGTCAATGTCCCAGACTATTCAGAGCATTTCCCCTGATTAATGAAGGATTGCAAGAGGCCTCTCAGCTATAGGCAGCAGATCAGAGTCAGTGCTGAGGGTAGGTTTAATATGACTGAAATGTCCTTGTTCTGAATACAGGGGTATTTGGCTCAGTGGGCTTGTTCATATTGACCCTGTCACTCCCCCACTAAAAGGAGTGGACTCTTCCTGCCACTGCCTGTGTTCACATTATTTACCAACCAGTTATATAGTGAACTTATACACACTTGAATGAATCTGGATGGATGTGCAAGCTAGTAAGATGTCTGTAGAGATCTTATAATTGCTACAAATGTCTATAATAAAAAAAAACTTTACAGTTTCGTATATGGCTTAGTTTTGTGAAAGCTGATGAATTATGAACATAATGACTTAAATGCATTCATTCGATCATATAAAATTTGGGATTATCTGTTAAGTTTAATTAGCCTGGATACTAACACAGGCTGATCTTATTTTCATTATTTTAAGCACAACTTAGAGGTTTCACGGTTTCCTGCCATTTGAGCTTTGTCACATGTTTAGCTGTAGATGCATGTGTCAGAAATTCAGCTGAAATTTCTCATTAAAATACATGGCTTTTGCCTTAAATTGCAATGCAAAAAAGCCTGTGTCTCAGGGGTTAATAAAATCATGCAGCATATTCAGGCTGTGCTTAAAACTATTTTTGTTTTGAATATAGTAATTGTTCAGGTCATAGAAAGAGCCACAGAAAGTCATCCTTGCAGAAAGGAAAATTATTTTCTGCAAAAAAATGATGTAATCGGTAACTTCATTAAAACACATCTCACAGGAAATGTGGGCAGAGGGCAGGGAGGGGGCAGCGACATGGCAGCAATTATGATTTTGCACAATGAAGGCTATACAGGCTAGAGAGCACAGCCTGACTAAAAACAACAAAAGAAAACATGCTCAGCCAATGCAGATGGGATCTAAGTGATATAAAGAGGGTTTGTTTGATCTGTGTTGGTGATGTGTGAGATCTCTACCTTTACTCCAGAGGATGTCTAGGTAGTCCTTATCCAGAGGCTGGTTCAGAATGAGCAGACATATCCTCAGAGTGCCTGGAGTAGGAGACAGGAGGAAAAGGACAAATCTATATAACACCCAAATAGCAAAAACGGTAAAGACATATTATTTGCATGTTCAAAACAATACATTTTAAGTACAGATTGAAGGCGGTTGTTTGTGGCACTGAATGTGCTAAATAAAGAACAAAATTAAAACAAAGCCGTGATAATGAGGTCATTATCATGCTCCACATGGAGACAGGAAAATAAGAGAGGATTACAAACAGAAACAGTTTCAAACGAGTCTCAGTTCCATCACAGTTCAAAACGTTTCCCACTCCATGCAATTAAGCTGCAAGGGATTTGTTTGCAACATCAAAAGATAACAAAACCTACCCAAAGTATAGACATTGTGTGTCCAAATTAAGCAATGATTTCCCTCAACTACACTCTCCTCGACCTGTGGTCTTTACTATTCTTTATTATTCATAAAAAGACGGAGGAATCTGTGCACTTAGCTTGTACTCATCTCATTGATGCTCATCTGAATACCTTGACCTTGTTGACACACCATGTGTACCTACATGACAACAGAGGAAAGCTTTTTCAAAACAGCACAAATGAAAGCAACTTGTCATCCTATGGCTTCTCTCTTTCCTCTCAGTGCACCTCTATGTCAAAGTCTCTTTCCCAGTCATAGATTTATCATTTCATAAATCTATTTCCACCCTAAACCACCCATCCATCTTGCTTTTAGCTTTTCTTTTGCTCTGCTACTAACGCAGATCCCCTGAGTAATAATTTAGAATTGTCATTTCTCTATCTACAGGAGATGAAAAAAAATTTACAGGACACTCATTGACAAAGTAAAACAGGGCTGCTAGAAAAGCCTTCACAGACCAAAGACTAAAGCACAACCTCTCTTCCCCCAGCCTTCACACTTAGTCATTTTATTGGCTGCTTATTTATCTTTCCTTTTCATGTCTGCCCTTATGAATGATTTTTTTATCCATTTTTGAAGTTGCTGCTTTTCATAGCAAAGCCAAAATGCCATATGCAAGCTTCAGAAACTCTGAGAAACTCTGTAATTACAATGCCCACTTCCTTCCCTCCTAAACCGTCTTCATATATATTCAACCCAACTGGATCCCAGTTTCAGGGCAGCATGACAGGTCATATCTAATAAAGGTAGTATCTCTCCCAATACACCTTTCCTGATACATCACGAATATAATAGGAGGCCAGAAAAGCAACAATGAGGAAGAAAGAGTAGAAGAGAATATACTTTAGGTGTAATGAAATTTCATTGCGAAATGTGTATCAGTTTTGTCCTGAAAAAAACCCACCTTTTTTGTATTGAAACCCCCGTGTGTAAAGAGTACATTTTAACCTGGCTGGGGAAGTGTGGTGAAAAAAAAAATGTATTTTGGGTTTGTGACTTTGTTGCAGCTGCAGACTTGATGTTGTTAAAAAGTTCACATCACTGGAAGGTCATTTCCAAACGAAAGTCAACCCCAGCCTATTATGGTAAAAGGAAGAGGAAAGGAAGAGAGGATAAAGAGGAGACACAAAGAAGGAGGAAAAGAAAGGACAACACATGGAGAGATAGGTGAGGGGGAGAAAGAGGAGGAGTAGATTTGTCAGTCTTGTCTCTTAATTGGCTGGAGGTGTACAGAGAACAAAAGACAAACTCAACCAGCCGTGACTTTTCAGATAACCCTTCGTCGCGTGAAAACTCACCTCCCCGCATATACACACGAGGAGAGGGGTGCGGCCTTTCGTGCACTCTGTTCAAAGAAATGTCACCTTGGGATTCTTTTAAAAGTGCCAGACAGCATAAATACCACAAACACACACATACATACACACACAGGCAAACCCCAAGCACACTAGCTAGCACATAGATATTCATTTCATATTAAAATGGTGAAATTTAAAAAGGCTAACTGTGCACACTAGGGGTTTTAAAATGCAGACATCCAGGGGCTGGTTTTATATTCTCCTCTGAGAGTCTAGATAAGCATTTCCTGCAAGAGATTAAACTAAAGAAGCCATAGAAATACACTCTAGACTTATCTAATAGGGGGAAGTGTTTCACTATTCTGTACAGTTGGGAAAAAGATTTTAGAAGTGTATGATTCAGGGAATCTCAAACACATCTTCTTTGATATCAAGTGACAGATTTATCAGCAAAATTATACCATCAGAGGGATGTGTGTGTGCTCGGATTTGTTCTGTTCTGCAACAATTTGGGGATTATTTGCACACCCTGTGAAATCTTTAGAATAAATCTAGGATTTGTACAGTGAGCAGTGTATAATGCTTAGCTAACACATTTGAGTAAACATTTGTTTGAATGGATGCCCCAAAACTGCTGGTAGCTTCCTATCAGAAGAGAGTGTCTCTTGACTGATGTTGGCCTATGTGTTATTGATTTTCAAGCTGTACAAGCATAGGAAATCAACAGCGGTTCTGTGCTCCTGCTCTGCACTACTCTCACATGTGTGAGAATGTCAGACATATACAAACATATGTACACATACAGGAACACAATTACAGTTGCCTTTGTAGACCAACAAGATTATGATAGTGCTTTGTACGGGGGCCCTGAGAGCTCGGCACTTCAACTTAAGAAAACACATGCGAAGACACACACGCACTGCAGATTCAGAAAACATCATCAATTTGACAACATGTGCTGTAAAAACTCACAAGATATGCAAATACAAAAATATGCTGCAAATTCAGTCCTGCAACACAACATAAGTGTTTCCAGGGGACATTAAAAAGTGATGAACCTGGCTGGGATTTGCCGTTCAACGCCCAGTTGTGACTTTTAAAGTTACTGGATAACAAGTGAGTCACAGCCGGGTTCATCACTTTTTTCTTTTTAAGTTATTTTTTGCCTTGATTCCGATAAGAGACAGTGACAGAGAGAGAGGACGATATGGCACACAGGGCCACGGGTTGGACTTGAACCCGGGGCCACTGTGGTTAGGATTACGCCTCCATGTCACACCCCCCCCCACCACCTACACCTGTGTCCGCTCGAAACACCTCCTCCCTGGGAACACATCCTCTCACAAGCTAACACAAGTATTCGCATGTGTTGTGAGTTTTTTTTTTTTTTTTTCATATTAGATAAGAATCGAACTGTGATTTGAACCACTCTCATGTAGCCAGTCTTGGACAGCCTGGACCCAGGGCACATTGACAAAGAGGTCAGTGCAAATGTCAAACAATATATCTTCACACCAGCACAAACAGTGACTGATCAATAGTGAATGGAGGTGTAAGAAACAACTTTTTATCAATGTCAGCAAATGTTTTTGTGAAATGAGATATGTATTATTGATTGAAATAATATTAATTAAAATAAAAAAAAAATAAAAAAACAATTCATTCAGTTATAGCTTCATCAAATTCATTTGTATCCTTTATTTTTGAGAATACCACATACCTCATGTCATATCACTTGAGCACCAATTAAAAAAAAACTGTTCTTGGCATTGCACCTTGCATTCTTTGGCCTGCATTCTTTTTTGTAAGACCAAATTATAACACTTCTTTGTAAAACAACACCAAATACATCTATGTCACGTCAGTAAACTGTACACCGTACGCTCATTGTATGTTTACGAACCTGCATCATCTGTGAGTGCTTTATGCCAAAGGATCTAAAAAAGATAAGATGATACTGCTGAGCTTTGTGGGGACATAATGTTTATTTTTCACTCTATTTATATCTCTGGTGGGTGGACAATATTTCCTGCCAGTGTTAAAAACCCACACCACAATTTATTTGAACAAACAGTGTATCTGTCGCTTCTCAACCATTGGCGGTTCACTTCATTATGACGTATAATCTTGTATGGCAATTTTTCACATAAGTCATAAAAAAAGCTCTTCGTAAAAATAGATCTCAAAAATTTCATGGAAATACTTTCTGTAGCTGTAATACAAGACAGACATAAGAGACAGAGGTAACTACATGTGCCTGCTGTCTGCTCTACAGGCCAAACTGTTGTATGATCCCCTTGACCTTTTCATCTTGTGTAAAACCTGCCCTTAGGTTCAGATGAGCTTCCTTCCTCCACACTCATACATACACCACCAGGGAGCTCACATAAACCTTGACCTGAGAGCAGTGGCTAAAGGCAGCTGTAACCAGCTTCCTCCTCAGGTCTGTAGGACAGTCAATGCTGACAAATTGGGGTTTCTTTTTCAAAAGCATCAACAGATACAGAATGAATATTGCAACAAAAAAGCGCCTACATGCCTATATATACTTTTAAAAAGAGAGATCTTCTTTTTGTCGAATGTCAAGTTTCAATCAAACACACCATGCCCTCTTCCAGAAAAGACTCATTATGTACCCAGTCTATCAAGAGAGACACAAGGAAGTGCGACTCAAACATATACAAACAGTGTCATAATTTCTTTTTGAGTGTCAATCACACAAAAAAGTGTGACAGTGATGTGAATAGGTATGTGTTCTGATCAGATGTACACAGATTGTCTTTGTTTGGACTCCAGTTTGTGTGTGGGAATCGTCCACACTGATGTAGCTTGTGTGTGAACATACCATGCAGTATGTGTCGGTGTATGGACCTGCGTATCTGATTGCGTGCATGTGTGTTTGAACCAAGGGAATGTGCGTCTGTAAGGCAGTACCTGAGGGCAGCAGGCAGTCCAAAGGCATCAACTCTTTATCCATGGCCCTGGATCCACAGGAGTCCATCTTCAATCAGCCAACTCACCTGGAATCGAGAAAAGGAGGACATATAATGTTACTACTCTTCTTGCTTTTATCTTCCTTTTCTATTTCTTCCTTTTGTTCTACACCTGTCAAAGGAATTCATTTAATTGTTCCTACTTGTCTCTAATCCCAGTTTATCACCAGCCTTCATCCAGGCTAATTATTTCCCTTCAAACAAGCAGACTGAACACAAACAGACATTCACACGAGAGGATGATGACACTCAGGTTGCATCACTGGATAACTCAAGATACTGACTCTAGGGCTGAAAGTAAACATCTTTTTTCATTACTGATTAATCTGAAAATTATTTTTTCAATTAATGGTTTGGTCGATAAAATTGGTAATGTCATCACATTTCTTGTGTTATCTGACTCAGATACAGATTTTCAGCTCACAGGAAAAAAGCAGCCAATGCTCACAGTGGAATAAATGATACATTTAACCTATTGTATGTTTAGTTGCCGATTGATTTTCTTTTGATCAAGTAATTGATTAATCATAGCAAAATTGCAAAATTTGTTACAAAAATTATTAAGGTTGAAACAATTAGTTGATTAATTGATCAGTAAGTTAACAACAAACTTATCTGACACTATTTTGGTAAAAGACCAACAGTCTCTGAGTGATATATCAAGTAAAAAAAAAAAATTACTGGTTCCAAATGCGAATGTATAAATTTGCTGCTTTTCTTGGTCAGATATGATTGTTAATACAGCCCGACCGATATTGGATTTTTGGGGCAGATGCTGATACTGATATTAGGGGGTAAAAACATTCTGATATCGATACATATATCGATATTAAAAGAAATTTTCTCCCTCCATCAATCTTTCGATAAATAAAATAACTATAAAAATAAATAACTATAAATAAAAAACATAAGAACAAATATGTAATATGTATATATATATATAGTATATATTATATATATACATACACATACATAAAATGCTGCCTATATAACTTGACTTGACCTAATCATTTCTACTGCATTATTGCTTCTTAATAAAAGTTTTCATATCAGCGGACCTCAGAGAATATATGCGCCGATACGGATATATCTGTGATCAGGGTTTTTCCTGCATAGAAAATTGGGAGACAGCCGCCTCCGTGAAAATTCATGCCGCCTCCGCCTCCCGACAAAATTCTAGTACTTGCACTGTACGCCACTGCGGCCCATGAGTGGCGCTGTATCGTAATCCGTGCTGGATTTTCTGCCTGCATAAGGAAGTGACCTGATTTTGCGGCTCTTCAAACAGGTGAATAGGGTTGCCACCCGTCCCGTATAATACGAGGTCGTCCCGTATTTGAAAAAAAAAGAATCAGATTTTTTTTTAAAAAGAGAGTTCATGAGGAGGAGAATCGTGAGGACAAGTGAAACAGTGCAGAGTGCAGACATCATTAGTTCTTCTAATGTGGGAAAAAATGGTAATTCATGTTACTGACTCCACCCCCCCACCCCCATTGTATGGTTTAGTACCACCCCCACCAAATTTTCAGCCAGGAAAAGCCCTGGAGATAGGGTAATATCAGCCGATAAAATCGGCTGACCAATAAATCGGTCGGGAAAATCATAAATCATATTTCAGGGGTTGGACTAATTGGACACAATGAGCATTTTGAAAGCATCACTTTGGCTGATAATTGAGATGTTTTGCTATATTTAATTGAAAAAAATTATTACAAAGAAAGTAGAGAAAGAAAAATAAATAATAATCATTAGTTGCATCACTAAAAATGATTTATAGTACACAGAAATCAAACATTTAATCATTCACTGCAATAAGAAGAGTTTTTATTATACACTCAGTTTTATGGATAACTCAGGTGCAGACCAAGTGCACAAAGTGTGAGCCCTGTTTGACATAGTTGAAGTAGTAACAAGTATTCACATTTCCATAGTCAAAATCAAGGATACAAAGAATATTTTTTTCAATCTACAAATTAGGTTGAACTGTAAAACTGAAATTCTAAATGACAGAAAAGTTATTATTACAAATGTTGTTGCAAGTAAATTTGACTCATCCAACACTCCTTTGTTAATAACGCCATAAATTATGTGCATGTACAATGTGCTCCTTTTGTCACTGTGAAACATACAGTACATGAACAAAAGCATAAAACAAACATACTACACCTTGGCAAACGCTCCCTTTGTTCACGTTTCAGCTTTACTATCCAGTTAGCAAACCATAAGAGAGGGACGTATGTAGAGACTGGTCACGATAAAAATTCACTTCATTTTTATCAATGAGTCTTTCTCCCCTCCTACCCACATACACACGTCACAGCACAGTCTATTCCTTTTTCAAGTTAAAAACTGAACTGTGTTAATTATTAGTTGTAGTATACTACATTGGACAACTTAATTGGCAAACGAACTGAACTTTAACTGCCATAAAGTGGAATTATAGTCATTATACTGCCCACACCTCTTCTCTGATCATGGAGGCAGGTTCCACAGCACAGACACCTTCTGTTTTCTACCTTAGGTTTCAACGCAACATCAACTACACCCCACATAAATTAACGACCACTGCAGCACCTCGTGGGGTACTCCACCGCTAAAACTAAATAGCGTTGCTAAGCCACTGAATCACTAACTCCTTTAACGGTAGCCGACCCCGTGATACATATTAGGAAACACTATGCTTGGGAACTGGACTTTGGCATCCTTACCGGCTGTTCCTTCAGTGTCACAATAGTTTAACCACTTCAACACAGCAGTGTGCTAATTTGCGGCGAGACAGTGTGCAGCAATGAACCACACTGCTTCACGTTGTTCACCGACAAAACATTACTATTCTGACAAAACAGCATAATGTGGCGGCGCTATGTTTCACTATTTAAAATCCGACTTCCCATTTTACAGTTGTCATTGCTATACCTTGTAAATATTAAATAAAAACTCACAAAATGAATGGACTTCCGCGATAGACGCTGTAAACAGTCGAAGAGAGTGCAGGGAGATATCGAGAGGCTATCTAGCAGGTTCGAAGAGAGCCGGGAATTAGTCATGGGGACATCTAGAGGCTAAAAGTGGAAATAACTTTTTCTTTGTACATAGCTTTTATGCAGTGATTCTCAAAGGCAGTCTCAGAAGTTTTTGAGAAGGTTCTAGGGTTCTCCAGCAAATTGAGGAATACTCTATGTCTCATTCACTGGAAATTATCCTAATAAAGGAAGGACTATTCCATTCACTGCTTCCACTATTCACTGTAACTATCATTATCTGCCCCATTACAACAAGAGACAGCCAGTTTGGTATCAAATAAACAAAAGTGCAACTGAACTCTTCCAATTTCAGGCATAAAATTAATCTTGTTAAACAGGTCCTGCTGGCTTAATGTGGTTATATATATGAACTCTAAAATCTTTAAAATGTCAACAATCTTTAAAACAGATATGCATTAACACCCATACACGGTGGGACTTTTATTGAAGGAGACTATTTTTATTCTAATTTGGTTTAGTGGCGCATTAAAAGAAGAGTAAGTGATCTAATAAATTTTTTTGTCGATTCAGTGAATATCTCCTCATGGTCCACTAGCTGTCCATTCTGTGTATGTGCTGAAAAAAATATGTGGTGTTCCTACACTGTAAATGAGATATAAACAAAGTGTCTCAGACTGACAATTCCAGCCAGTCAGCAACAGAGGATGTTCATGCTCGTGCACAGGACAAGGGAAAGAAGACAAGGAGGGGAGATGGGCGAAAAGCAGCAGAGAGAGCATGAAATGGTATTTGCACATGCTAATGAATAGTGTCAATTTAAGGATTACCAGAGGAAGGAGAAGGAGGAGCGGTCTACATTTCTGTTGCTGCCAGACCACGTGGAGTATTGAATGGGATTGAGTGAGACTGCAGATGACAGACCGACAGCAATGTTAAGGCGAGTGCATGCAGGAATGCACTGCCAACAGAAGCCAGGTGTTAGCGAGTTTTTTGTCCAAAGTAAGAGGTTATGGTTTAAAGGAGGCTTAGTCAGTCCCCCTCAGTCGTATTTTTTACACCTAATGTTGAAGGGAAGGGAATGTTGACATGCACTTATCCATATTTGATAATAATAATAATAATAATAATAATGATGATGATGATGATGATGATGAT